AGGTGAAACGGGATGCAGATGCCTTTGAACTGCTGAATGGTACGAGACAGAAAAGATGAGACATGGGCAGCAAAGGAGGGGTGAGACAGAAAAGGTAAAGTGACTGACTTGTTGTGTCGGGGTACAGAGCAGTTACGAAACTTCAACGCAGACTTGAGCAGCTGTACCACTCTAGATCTGAAAGGTTGCTCCATGATCTTGGCCATGCGGAACATCGCGTACAACTCTAACGTCGAGACTTTGGCAGATCTGACAATTTTCGCAGCAGAGAAAGATGCCGAGGTCAACGATGCCAAATCGTACAAGAGCGACCACGCTTGGCTTTTGTCCATCAAACATCGAATCGGAGTACTTGTTGAAGCAGCACGTCTTCGAACTTTGACCCAAAGTCTGGAAAACAATGAAACATTCTTGAGAGATGGACGTGGCCTGAGTCTCTTGAATCCCAATGCAGACTTAATGAAGAAACGGTCAATGAACGGTGAATTCAATCTGGGCTGCCACCGATCAATAAGGACATGCTCTTGCACCCACGCTTGTTTGTAGTCATCATGAACAGACAGACAAAGCGTAGAAAAGTCAAAATACCTGCCCAGCGAAGCCCAAATGCGAATGGCCGGTTCAACCTGAACATATTGCTCACGGAGAACTTGCTTGAGTTTGGACTGCCGGTTGAATTCACGCTTCGAAATAGAAATTGAAGTACTTCCCACATACATCCATCGGTCTCTTTGCTTGAACGATGAACGCGTACTCCAAGACACGGGGGCTTTCAAATAAACTGCACAAGGACACTGGAACCGTGTGAACGTGTAATCAGACGGCGTGACTCCAGCATTGCGCAATTTTTCAAGCAGCCGTTGTTCTGGCGAAGTACCCCTGGAGTAATGGAACAGTAGAATCAGATGACAAAAACCTTGCAACCAAATGGCCATCACTTTGTCCACATGCGGAATGAATTGAAGCACAAACGACATGAACTTGCCAACCTCTGTAATAAGAACATGTGCTGACCGAATCTCCTTTACAGAGAGTTGCTTGGAAGCAAGGCTGTGTGCAATTCAGACGACTTGAAAGGCTGCCGCTGCAATGCACGTAGAGAGACTCTTGATGCCCATCCTAGATGCAAAAGTCGCCGAGATCCCGAATTTGACTGCAAGTTCTTGCAGTTTTGCTTTCTCCTTGCCTCCATAGTTGATCTGCACAAGCTTGGAGACAGACACAATGTGCTCTTGAAAATCGACAAAGCGCTTTCCTAGGGGTCGTTTGAAGCTCTGGATCCACTTGTCGACGTCCCCCTCTCCTGATCCCTTTAGTCGGGCTTTGTGATCATTCAGGGCTTCGGCAGGAACACTGTCGATCTTACGCTTGAGGTCACTCTCCCAAGTCTGCGGTGGTGTCCCGGATTGTGGACACGGAGCACTAGATTGCGAGGCAACCGGGAGCTGTGTTTTCAAAGCGGGTTTCGTGGGGGTAACCGGAAGTCCTGCGGCTTGTAACTGTTCACGACGGCGATTGAGCTCTTCCGTAACTTGAAGGAACTTCTGAGATTGATCGACGCCTGCAGACACCGGCATGTTGTCAAACATGAGCTGAACGATCTTGTCAACCAGCGGCTGAAACAGAGCTGCACAATCCGTGTTCTTGTTGGGAATGATTGTAGATGGATTAGCGGCCTGAAAGAGTTGCGTAGCAACTGCATCAATGTCAACTTTGCGATCTCGAAGGTTCTTCGTCACTTGCGACATGAACACTGCTTCGGCAACCGTAGCAACTGGCACAACACTGAAAAACTTGCCATGACTCAATGCTCGAAGACGCCAATCTGAAACTCCATGAAACAGGAATTCCTGAACAGGAATGCTGAGTGGGTCTTTTCCTGCGATCCCTTTCTTCCGCGACCAAGGGGTGGCTTCGATGGACTTACGAAAGGACAACCCATGAAGCACCGTTGAATCATAATGATCACGATCTGACGCCCATCCATTCGGTAGTGCAGGAACAAGACCAGGACTTTGATGAAATGGCATGGGAGTAGACGGCGATGATGAAGGTGCCGAAGAAAGTGGAGGCGGAGGTAGTGGAGGTGGCTGACTAGCAGGGGCAGACTTGGAGAGGTTGGGATCAGTCCAACTTCCCGAGCTATACGGCTGATAGCGGTGCTGACCCCACGATTGTTGGGACCTCCCGTACCCTGTGTTGGTGTCCCACTGTCCATTCCATGCCATGGTTTCAGATCTATCGACAAATCTGAGTGCGCGGAATCGCTAACGACACTTCGAATCAAAAGGCTCCGTAGGCGAACAAACCTGCTCAAGTTATTCCCAAACTGCAATACTTGCACATCGCTTGCACAACTCTTGCATCACACTTGCAGTACACTTGCACGTCCCTTGCAACACACTTGCACGTCCCTTGCTGGCACAGCTCGCAATCTTAACTGACATGTTTTCGACACATGTATGCGTGCAAAGCAGTTGACAACGGAAGAGACTTGAGAACGTGGCCGGTCAAAGCAGCGTGTTGCACTCAGACCCTCCAAAAAACAAGAAGCGCTTCCGGGATGAAACATGAAGAGCGAAAGACCCATCTGCCATCTTTGGCACGGGCAACATCACGAATGTAGCTGCAGGAATGGTCACCTTCAACCCCTCCCATGGGGATTCTTGAGTGGGGAGGCGTGAGGGATCCTTGACGATTAAATGCATGTCCGAAAATGCACACCGGACGCTCACTCAGAATGCCACCGTACTTGGCCGCTGCCTCTTGTGCTTGTTCTGCATCTGAAGTGTGAGCCCTAGCATAGAAGGAAATTGGTGGGGACCACTTGCTGTCACTCGCATCCCACCACGATGGTCGGATCGTTCCCTCAAGGAGGATTGATGCAGCCGCTGCCACTGTTGTGTTGTGTGCAACAGGGGAACGAGTAATCCCTGCTGCAGAAGTATGCGACCTGATCATGGTCCTCTCAAAGTGGGTGAAGTGGATGCTCAAGCACTTGCACGAACTCGACAAAGAACGAAGCTCCACAGAATGAATGTTTGCGGCTTGGTCAGCTGCTGCAATTGCCTGAGAGACATACTTCAGTGCCGTCGAATTGACAGAGTGGGGAGGAAGACCTAACAGGCTGATCAGATAGTCCGCCGTGCTTTGCATCAAAGAGCTGGGAACCTGCAACTCAAGATTGGCCTGTATCTTTCTCGAAATCTCACATGCCGATTTCATACGGCCAGGGCTGGAACTGATCAAGTGACGTAGAGCAGCAAACATGGGGTATAATGCGACCCAATTGAAGCTAGCTGAGTACACACGTATCAGCTTCGCTTCTTCATCGCGCACTTCCAACCCACGAAGTTCAGGAATCACGAAGAAGTTTGAATCTTGCTCCCACTCAACTTCCACATGCCCTTTGAGAAGAGATCGATTCTCAAAATGCTCATACGAGTCTTGCAAGGGTCTAACTCGAAAGACGTAAGTCTGGTCCGCACTGAGCTGCCACCCTACGCGATCTGCATGAGTACCAGGAATCTGATCACAAATTGCACGAAGTCGAATGCTGTTAGGATTAGGATCTGCAACGAGAGAAACTCCGCTTCCATGAACTTGCCGAAGTCGCTTTGTTGGCTGGGATGAATCATCCGTTTGGTACGTGATGGCTGACTGCTGGCTCTGAACAGATGCTGTTGACTGATTCTGTTGAGAAACAACAGACTGCTGAATGTCAAGCAAATTGTTAAGGCCAGCGTACACATCTCTGTGGCCTCGGACATGGGTCAAGTTTGCCGACATGATCGCTGAGTATTCAGCGAAATCAGCCACCGAGCGAAACGACAACCGAAAACCTGCGCCGTCTGCATGAAGAGTGATTGCAGGGGGAACCTCTTGCTGTGGAACCTGTCGATCATTTACAGCACGTGCAGCAATCAAGGTAGGAGTTACATCTGTAGTTCCCGCACCAACAGTGGATGCAGAAGGGACCGGCAGAGAAGAAGATGAAGCAGGCGCCGGGCAAACTGCAAGAGTGGGGGGTGGGGGAGGGAAGGCGGGAGGGGGAAGGGGAGGGGGGGGTGGAATCCACTTCGCTGTGGTACCACGGGAGGGGGGAGGGGCAGAGGTGGGGAGGGGAGGGGGAGGCAAAGGGGGAAGGGGGGAGGAGGAGGGTGGAGGGAGAGGTGGGGGAGGAGGAGGGGGGGTTGATGTGCGGGTACTGCGTCTCTTTCCTGAAGCATCCATGGCAAACTGATCAGCAACTACCCGAAAGTACAGCTCAAGTACTCAATCTGTAGCCAAAGACCTGCGACGAGTCAGCGAAAAAGTCAGATTCGGGAAAGTCGATGTGATCATAGACAATCAGTGGGAAAGTCAGCATTCAGGTTTCGGTATAAGCTTTCGGTGAAGACTCACTGAGAAAGTCAGCTTGCAAGCACGGATATAGAATCAGGGAAAGTCATCCAATGCTTATACAGTCAATCGGGAAAGTCAACGCCAGAGCTACCTCTGGGAGACACGGCGCCCGTAGGGAATGCCGTTGTGAAGCACACTTGACACATCGTGTCGCAGGTCTCGAATCACACTCTCAAAGTCAGAAGAGTCAGCTTCTTGAAGTTATTAGATCTTGTCATTTGGCCAATTGTGAAACAACAGCGTCTTTGGGGTACTTCGGGCGGCCGTTGTGCAGGTACGTCACAGGAACGTCTTCCCGTGATATCACAAGCAAACTGGAGCGTCTTCGTTGGCGCAAGACTCCAGAATGCTTCTTGCGCCCCCTGCCTACATGAAATCGAGGTCCCTTCGAAACAGGGTTGGACACACACACACACACAGACACACGCACACGCACACAACAAACATGCAGAAGTGCACAGGGCGGTTTCATCTCAGCAATTCCTGTGTCGTTCTTGCGTGCAGTTACGAGTTCTTCGCACGCTTGTGAAGACGCATTCGAGGGCCCCTGTGCTTCTTGTCCCAACTCCCTCAGCATCTAAGATTCTGAGACTCAGGCGATGCTCACGTTGCCGTTGCCAAGCCCTCTCTTTCTGTACTGGTGGTCGACGAGGCGGAACGCATGACGTCTCAGCCCGAGCGGCCCTAGCATTGCCTCTTCCGTCTCAAGGAATGTAGGTTATCAGACATCTTCTCACCTACCTGTGGTACATTCAGATTTTCCTTGTGCAGAGGGCGCCCGGCAAGTTCACTCAAGTCCAGAGCTTACACTACAAGCCAAGGGGAGCAACAAGGCCAGAATGTTGTGTCTCTATCGTTTGTTGTCGATTCTGACAAGAACACCTCGCTTGTGTGGATGTATCGGAGCTGTCGTGTGAGTCATTAAGACTCTCTTCTTGCTGCGTCCTCCTCCTGCCTGATTGCCGAACATGGTTTGGAAACCTTGCGAAGGCATCATGAAAGCAAAGAACAGCGATCGCATTTGGCCAGGATCCTACGACCCTGGATAGTTGACTCTTGCCTGCCTTGAGTGTTCAAGGCAGAGGCTCAGGTAAGCGGTTCGCCTTTAAACTTTGGCACTTGTAGTCTTCCTTGTTCCAGATGCGACTAAGAGGGTCAGAGGCGCCGTTGCCTGGAAGCTCAAAGCATGGAGACGTTTCGCAAACTAGTTGCTTCGATGATGATGCGCAGCGAGTCGTTGCCGACGTGGGCTAGAGCAGAATCACATGCAGAAAATCTCAAATGTCTCAGGATATCTCAGGATGGAATCATAGAGTGGAGCAGTAACGCTATGAAGACGGCACGTGCGTGACGCCAAATGAGACGAGACATCGCCTCAGCCTTTGAGTGTTCAGGCAGTGGCGGCCTTGTTCCAGCCCGAGCCTGCGTGCACGAAAGGTCAGGTCAAGAAGAAGGACTGAGGCATTTAGCCTGGCAGCACGGCCCTCGCAGACTTTATTCCAGTCTAAACATGTCGAAATCCTAAACCCTTGTTAGTGGCCGTTTCGAATTTAAAGTCGAAGCTTCAAGAGTTGCGAGTTGCTGTCTCGGACTGCGGCAGATGCACACCCTGGCTCCGCAGTTGGGCAGAGACAGTGAGAGTGAGACAACGCCAGCCTATGCCAAAGACTTCACTCCCGACTGAGCAGCCAGGCAGAATGGCGGCTTTCAGCAGCGGTGTTCAGGATGCGAGGGCACGTTGATTTTTGTTGACGAGGGGTTCGAAATGGAGCGGCCTGACAAATTTTCTGGAATTGACTGTGCGCATACTTTCGAAGCTGATCCATGTCCCTTTGTCGAGCATTCGCCGCTGCTGCTTGCTGCCTCCTGCCCAGAGGAGCATAGCAAATTTAAAACGGCGTAGAGTTTTGCACAGCAGAGTGTGCCCTCAAGCTGCTGAGCCTTGATGGTGCCGTCCATGTGTTTTCAAGTTTTGCATCTCCGACCGCCTCTACCCTCGTCATTTCGCAATTCTCATCAGCGGACGAAGCTCGGAGATTTTTTGCCATTGTTTTCTTCCAGCCCGTGGGAAGGACATCTCTTTCCTGTGGCCTATTGGTTTCTGAGGCTGACGTGCGAGCTCAGCCACATAAACCGCTTCATTGTCCTAAGGACTTCAGGCCCTGCTCTGTGTAATTCGTAAGTGCACGCCAGACACAGCAGTCCCCTGGTCATGGGCGCATGTCAAAAGGCCACTACGTGAGACAAAGACCGGCCATGCAGCAATGCGGTACCAGCTCGGGTTCATTCTGGTCATAGCCGGAATACTGAGCATGCTATATCTGAACAATGTCATCATGCAGCGCTTAACACTGGCAGTGTGTCACAGAAGGTGTGCGGTTGAGTTCCGTTCTCTCGAGATGGCAGGCTGCAGGAGTTGCCGGAACGCCTGATTCCAGCAAAGTAATTTTGCCGTGCAGGTCCCAGCAGTGAACAAGCAGCTATCACCCACCCATGAACCATAAACCCATGAGGCCGCACCAGAACCTCCGTCATGATTTCAGGAAGAACGCACTAGATGGTGAACAATGGTGGCATGCGGCATGAGCAAAATGAAGCTTAAGCCTATCTGTATCCAGTTTGCAATAATATCAATAAAGAGAGAAGGCTCATCACGACATCGCAAGTAGAGTCAAGGCAGCCTTCACAACTTCTTTTGTGTGCCCCAGGTGAATATGACAGCGCTACAGGGCAACTTGAGGTTGCTGAGCTGCACGGATGTTGAGCCATGTGACCATGTGAGTAGATGGAGTGGATTGCCTAAGTAACTTGGAGTAGTGACACCAATCCGAACAATCATTATCAGCACAGTGTTCATCCAGGTTAATGCTCTGATATGTACCAAGTACTAGCCGCTAGCCTTTGAGGGGTCTTAGCTGCCCGAGCAACTCGCATTGCACCGAAGGATTCAAGGCTCCGAGGAGTCACACTGTGCAAGAGGCCCCAAGGCCCTTCGCATGATGCACCGAGGATCGAGCAGTTTCGATCGGCAACGTGGAAGCAGAGGGTGACTCTAGAATTTAGCATCTGGGAGCTCAAATCGTAGCGTGCAGCCACAGGCTGAATAGTCGAACACTGGTGGGTAATGGCAGGGCTTGGATCTGAAATGGCGTGCTTGGCATCCGAATTCGGAACAGCTTGTGGGTGCAAAGGCCAAGTTCAGACGCTAGTTTGATGTTGCGGATACCGAGCAGAGGCATTGAGAGATGGACATGTACACATAATTTCATAATCATGTTATGCTATGCTATGCTACTCCGTGTCATGCTGTGGCGTTTTGTATTGTGCCATGCTGTTCTATGCTATGCTATTCTACTTGTACCTGATGTTATGCCGCGGCATGTCATATTTGTAATGCCATGGCTGCTCTGGTAAGTCATGTTATGCTATGGCATGCTCTGTTGTGCTGTGTTGTCCTGTGTTGTGCTATGCAGTGCTTTGCTATACTATGCTTTTAAGCATATGTTGTGTTGTTAGTACGTATATGGACGCATGTACGTACGTATGTATGCGCTTGTATGCGTGCGCAAGTGCGCGAGAGAGAATTACATCTGTGTGTATGTATGTACGTACATACGTATGTGTGTATGTGTGTGCACATGTATGTACACACTAAGAGCAGGTTCATCCTCGAGGACGCCGCCCCACCAAACGCCCCCAAGCCATTCTTTGGAACATGCAAAGTGAACTGTCTGTGAACTGTCTAACACCACGAGGACGGTGTCGAGCTGCTGACCGCAAGCCTTGCACAGCTATGGCTATCAAGCATAGTAGATGGTAATTTGTTGGTAGAGTCCGTTTGATATGCGGTGGCGACACATGAATGAAGTCCCAGTTCGTCCAGAAAGACACAAAATCTATCCTGTGACCAACTTGAGGATCTAATCCGAGCCCGAGCGCAGAATGATATGCTACTGGCCGTTGGTGAGGGCCAAGCGCAGGCACGGGATCCAGCCGAAGCATTTGGGTTATTTCTGATTCACCGACTTGGCAGTCCAAGCCAAGTGCGATGACGCGGTGTTTGCAGGTCCAATACATGAGGTTATACAGCTGCAGGCCGAAACCCTGAGGCTGAGGCCCTGCCTGCAGTAGCAGGCATCATCCACTGTAGTGTTTTTATTCTTGAAGACTAGGAAAAGAAGACACGCAACGAGCTCCTAGGTTTCATTGTTCTGGTTCTGTCGAGAGGATTCGGGCTCACATGATGCTTGTGGCTCTGGGGTGGGTCGTGAGCGTGAGAGTTTGTTGCACCTGTCAGCTTTGAAGAATAATTGCTGTCATCGCCTCTGAAGCCAGCAGCCCGGCCTGAACCCCGAAGTGTGTCAGGGCAAGCGCATGGCAGCGGAGGCCCCCGGCGCTGCTGCACCAATGGGTTTAGATTCAGCTGTAGAGCCAATTCACAGCTACGGCCACCAGGCCGCAAGACTTGAGCTGCAGACCCACAGGACCCCAGTGCAGGAATCCCAAGGCAGCCATGGCACAATACCTAACCAATCACGTCTACTCTTGAGTAGCGGAATGGCGGCAAGGGCCTCGGGTCCGGATTCGATCCATTTCAGGCTTCGGGTCATAAAATGAAGCTCTGAGACGCAGCATGCCGACAGTTTGTTCTGGGGCGAGAAAGTACTGACAAGTCAAGAGCCCACTAGAAGCAAGACCCAAGATGTCAGAACAGGCGCAAACTTTCCTGGACGGCTTGGAAGACAGTGTAAATGCTGCACGGCAAGTGAGTGCGTCTTTCATGGGAACGGCTTCTGTTCAGTTTCTATCGAGCCCGAGTCGGTTCTTAGGAACAGGAGAGTGTCCATATCTATCATACTACCTTGAAAGATTTACTATATTGTTATTTTACTAGACTACTATATTACTATATCATTGTATTACTATACTGCTATATTGCTGTAATATCATATTCTTATGTTACTATACTGCTATATTACTATACCGAAGCACAGTTTGTACGTGCATATGTGCCTCGACAGAACGGGCCTTGACTGACCTCTGAGTTTTCACATGTCTCCATTTTTCCGACCCACCTCCTTCCTGCGTTTGACGGTGCGGTGGCTGGGGCTTGGAATTGGGATTGGAGATCGGAGAGCTTCCAAAACAAGACATATGTTGCTCAATCTAATTTGAAGAGATGTTGTCAAGGTTTGGCAGTCCTCAACCGCTGTCAGTCTAAGCATGTTGCCCTTCGTGTCGCCCTCATGAGAGGAGGGTGATGTGCCGGAAGTGTGGGTCTGTTGAGATACTGCCAATTTGAAGCAGCGATCCCGGTTGGCTGAGGCAAGCTCTTCTCGCCTGGACCTGCAACTCGGAGCTATTGATATAAGAAGGTTGGGCTGTGGCTCTTGTTTCCCGGGTTGAGGAGTGGCTTGGCCTTGCCAGGTGGGAATAGGATTTTCGGTAGGTCTTCCGTCGCTTCGCATTGTGGCGTTGTCGGGTTCTGGCATACGTGACCTCAGACATGACCTTCAACAGATGATTGGGGCCGAGATGAGCTGAGTCCCTGACGGGCATGGAATTCGGGTGTCGTGAGCGGGTAGACGCGGCGCAGGTACCGCAGCTACAACGAGGAGCTTGCTGTGAACAACCTTACGAAGCTGTTCGCAGGCAGCGTGGAAGTCGTCACAACCTCACAGTCAGGAAGTATGTCGAGTTCAGGTTGAAGCACTCCTGATCCCCGTCACCACGTTCCGCTAGATTCTACGTTCCTAAGTCCGGAGGCGTGTTTGTCTGACAAGTAATGTGAGCCGCCAAAGCCGAAAGCCTCAACAACCTCATCTGTCAAGTCCGAGTGTGAGAGCACAATTTGAACTTCAACTGGGAGTCAGAACCTGCAGCGGCAACATACCCCTGCTCCCCGGCGTATCCCGGTGCCCGGTGTTATTCTTTTGGCGACACATCCACATTGTGATGACATGTATGTAGTTGTGGTGTGGCATATGGTGATGCTTGGTGCTAGGGGAAGGGAAGATTGGGATGCCTCGTTGCTGTCATGCCGGAGGTTTG